ACTCGGACAACATCGACGTCATTCATCCGAGTAAAACCATCTTTCTTATTAAATAATTTCTTCATGTCGTCGACGTGTAAGTTCGGCTTCTCTATTGACTCATCAGGAAAAACCCTGGATAACCATGATGGGCGGGTGATATGACGAGTGTACCGGCCTACATCATCATGTCCGAATCGTAGACCAGTGATTAAGCAGAACTCCTTCCGCCCAAAACAAGTATACGCCGGTGGAAAATGAAACCATATCTCTTCCTCACCACGTTGTATACTGTCTGGTAGACCGGTGGAAAGTGAAATGGTTAATCGATTATTGAAATTACCAGTAAACTTATCATCAATTTCAATATGAAAAACCTAAAATAATGCAAAAATTTCAAAATAAAAATAATTAAAAAAACTAACCCTCGGAGGTTGATTTTCCATTTCTGAATGATTGTGAGGGATTTCTGACCGTGAATAGTTGTGAGGGATTTCGCCGGCGATGGGGACGAAAATCTTCGGAGATGGGGACGGATTTCACCGTAGAGAGTGAGAGATGGAGATGGGACTGAGTGTTGTGATTTTAGGTTTGAGGTTATGAGTTGCGATTACTGTGGACGGTTCAGTTTCCGATATATTAAGAAAAAATTCATGTTTGGAATTTGGAAAAAAAAATATACGTTAATACGAATGGCGCTATGTAAATCGCATTGCGATAGTTAGATTCGCATTGCGATTTACGTATTCGCATTGCGATTTTCCTAATTCGCATTGCGATTTACTTAATCGCGTTGCGATTTACTTAATCGCGTTGCGATTTACGTATTCGCATTGCGAATTATGAAAATCGCAACGCGAATACGTAAATCGCAATGCGAATTAGGAAAATTGCATTGCGATAGTCAGTATCGCATTGCGATTTTCCAAATTCGCATTGCGATTTACTTATTCGCATTGCGAATTGGGAAAATCGCAACGCGAAATTGGAAAATCACATTGCGATAGTAATAATCGCGTTGCGAATCTGGAAACTGATTTGCGATAATGGAGATCGCGTTGCGAATTAGCGATCGCATTGCGATTTTGTTGGTCATTTTGGAAAATTCAGAAAAAGTTGGTTAAAATCGTATATTATATGGGATTTTTGGTCACTGAGGTTATTTTCTCTTTTAATTTTAGGGTTTTGTTTTAAGATTTGTTTAGAATGAGAGTATTTAAAATGTTTTATTGTATTAGATAATAACAATTTAGGGTTTGAGGTTTAGGTTTAAAGATGAATTTGTGTTGTTTAAATATCATATAATCTTTGTATATTAAGATAACATTTTTTTTATTTTTAAGGTTTAGGGTTTTGTAGTGTAGGCTATTCAAAGTGTTCTGTAATGTTAAAGATAAATTTATATTTGTTTAAATAATAGAATCCATTGATATGAAGATAAAAAAAATGTTAAGAAAAATTTGAAGTGGAATAAAGTTGTTATTGGAAACATGAGTTTGCACTACACGTTACATACCGTAACACATTATTAATTAAATTATCTTTATTAAGTAAAAATTTAAAAATTCAAGAATCGTTCCATGATTAATTCACTAATTTTGTAGTATAATTTTTTTTAAATAATCACTAAACTATGTTAAAATAATATTTTAGATATTAAACTTTCACAAAGTTATATGATTGATATTGAAATAATATATTAAATCAATAAAATAATCTCCTCAATTAGAAATAAAGTTTCATTTTTTATAATTTTTCAGTAGTCCTAAGTAATGATTCTAGAAAAATATATTTTTTTGAAAAAATTATAGAAATTCATAAAATCATAAATTTATGAATTTTTTAATTAATATAATTAATTTTATAATTTTTTTTTATTTAGTTATGATTAAATTTGTAAAATTTATTTAAAATTTTCGAGGTCCAGCAATTTCTATTATCATAAAGTAAAGTCAATTTTTTTTGTTAAACAATGTGATTGAATTATTTAATTTTTATTTATTAAATTAAATATAATTTGAATATGTATTTATAATTTAAAAAATAAAATTTAAAATTCAATATATTTTTTTTACAAAAATAAAATTTTTGGTCCGTTTACTATATTAGGCCAATTTTGCCGAATGTGTATATCCTGCGATGAATAAGGTATTTTTGGTCCAAACATTAATTGGACCTCGTGCATCATCTGCTTGGTATTTTTAGGCCTAACAGGCCACAGAGTTTAATTATTTAACCTAATATGGCATATAGAAATTTATTTAGGGATATATAGTATTTGCTACAATTAGAGTTCATCACGTTGAGTTGATGAATTTAAATAAAAATATTTTTTTAATCTAATTTTATATCTCGATTTGATAATAATAAAAATTATATTTTATTAAAACTCATCACCTCGACGTGATGAGTTTAAATAAAAAATATATATTAAAATCCATCACCACAACATGATGAATTCTTTAAATAACAAAAAATTAATTAATTAATTCTTTATTTATAAATAACAAAATATTAAGGGTTGATTTTCTTTAGAGAAATCTATAAATGTCATCCGTTAATTCATCGTACAATCAATCATATGAAGTCTCAGCAATCATAAATGGTTCTAGTAATATCATACTCACGAGTTTATGGTTGTTTGAGTCTCTACGTCTGCATGCGAAGCTGATTTAAAATTTTTAATTAATAAATTTATCTCTTTAACATAAAACTTTACATTCATACCTAATTATGTCTATTATGTACTGACATCGATTTAATAACCTTGGTACCATCCAGTGGCCGATGTACATGGCTTCATCTTCTATATTAATTATGAATGAATTCATAAGGAACTTCAATAATAATAAAAAGTGTGTTATTCTTACCATAAATTTATAGAATATGTTTGTATTGTCAATAATTAAAATAAATTATAATCAAATACTATCTTATAATCACCTTATATTATTTTTAAAAAATTCAAAATAACATATTAATTATTAATCGTATGTTGTGTTTATATTCTATATTAATTTATTTAGTATAGTGTTAATGATCAAAACAGAAGTTTTAGAAAACTTTCAATATAATTATAAATGACTATACATTTACATAAAGAAAATAAATTTCTAAATTTAATAAATTTAAAAAACAAACTGATTAAAATATTATTTTTCTTAAATAACTTAAGTTTGAGCAGCCGTTGAGTGTGCTTTTAATATAATTATAAGGTGATAATTCTTAATTAAATATACTTTTAAGTAATTTAAACCAACAAAGAATATTACTTTAAAGACTATATATTTGCCCGTTTAAGTATAATGGTAAATGAGCAATAAAAGAATTATAAATAAGTTATTTATAACTAAAATGAAACCAACGTATACTTGATATGAGCTCGATTCGTTTCATTAATTTGATAATTTCAAGTAATTTAATTTAATTATATTATTTATGTATTATTTTAATTAATATTAAGATTTGAAATTTGAAACTGTAAAAAAAATAATTAAATTAAAATACAATTATTAAATCAATAATTTATACATCATACATGTTCTTATGGGATAGGGTCTGAAGCCCAAGAGACACCAACCAGTTGGTCCAGATACAAGAAGCCTGGCTCCTTTTTAAGTATACGAGAGTTGAAATAACGGTTTTAGTCCCTTAACTTTATCATTTTCATTAATTTAGTCCTTAAATTTTTATTGTCGTCCTTTTAACCATAATCTGTTATTTTTATCAAAATAAATCAAATGAGATAGAATAGTAACTATGTCGTTAAGTTAACATTTTTCGAATAGTCAAATCAGAAAACTGAATTTCAATGGATGATGGGAGGAATCATTTAGTCCCTTCAATTATCCATTTTTCGCATAGCTTGAATATTTATTTTTACATTAAGTCTATTAGAAATATTATTTAGGAAGTGATAAATTTGATTTTACTATTAAATTAATATTGTAATTAAATATTTAGAGGGAAATATTTAAGAGAGAACAATTTAAGTATGTTGTATGATAAAGTATATGGTTAGCTTTAAGCTTAATATTAATAGTATCCCATATTCTGATCCAAAGGGCAACTTGTGTTTTTTTTGGGGGGGGGGGGAACTCGTGTTACAATACTAAAGATTTATTAATTCGATTATTAAATTTTTATATATATTTAAAAAAAATTATTTTTACTTATTTTTTTGTGAAATAGTTATTAAAATTGTTTATGAGAAGTCAAAAAGGAGTAAACTAAAAATTATGATGGTAACTAATAGTGATGGGTGACAACTATTTGTAGGGATATTTATCGAGCGAGTCGATCTTGAGTTGGGCAGTGCTCGACTCGTGTTCATTAAAAAAATTTATTGCTCAAATCTTGCTCGACTCATGCTCATTAATCCCATTGCTCAGCTCGTTGCTCGTTAAGCTCACTGAAATTTTTTCTTACTTTTTTAACTATAGGTAAACTCTACTAATACTATAAATTAATAGATTAGTCATTTATCATGTTTTTATTATCTATTAGTAAAATAGTAATTTTTGAATGAAATAATTTTTAATATAACTACTAAAAAATTATAAAAAAAATAACGAGCTGCTCGAAAACTTATCGAGTCGAGTTGGACTTTGCTCAACTCAACTTGTTAAGATCTGGAATCTAGTTCGAGCTCGAGTCGAGTTTAAGCTGCTCAAGTCATTAAACACCCCTAACCATCAACATGAACTTTGACTTGATTTAGGGTTAAATTGATATTTTGTATAAAGTTTAAAAGTTAAATTAATATTTTATGTAAAGTTTAAGATCAAATTAATATTCTAACTAAAATTCAGAAGCCAAAACAAACAGATAAAATATAAAAGTGACCAAAACAAACGTTTACAAAATTAATAACTAGAATCAAACAGACTGAAAATATAAAGGACTCTCACTGTTATTGACTCATGAAAATAAGCTCAGATTTGTTTTTACAATTTTCAAATTCAGTGCTAGTAATATGGTTCTTGCAACACTTGCACCAAAATTAGACGACAAAGGAGAAACAATATAAATGTCATTTTCAAAATTCAACTTTTCATTCTAAACGTCATTTTTTCCGGTAACCAAGAATCACCTAAAGAAACATAAATGACAGCGGGAACTCCACCGCCACCGGCATCGTCCAAACCCGAAGACGACCCGGACCAAACAAGTCGGTCCGCCACCATTCCCAACCAAATTCCCACCATCACCGGCCTCGCTCATCGGAAAAAAGGGACCAGCGTCCGCTCATGGCTTGTACTGGACTCGACGGCCCAGACCATGACAGTGGAGGCCGGAAAGCACTCCATCATGCGACGCACGGGTTTACCCGGTCGAGATCTTCGGATCTTGGACCCGCTTCTTTCGTACCCGTCGACGGTCCTGGGTCGAGAAAGGGCCATCGTGATTAACTTGGAGCACATAAAGGCAATCATCACGGCTCAGGAGGTTCTGCTCTTGAATTCCAAGGATCCTTCCGTTACGCCGTTTGTTAATGAATTGCAGAGAAGGATTCAGTTGCATTATCAAGCAAATCAATCCAAGGTTCTTTCATTATATTTCACTGTTTGGTTCTTTTATGCTGTGTTTGGGGACAATCTGGAATTTGAAATTTGATTTGGGTATTTTTAGGAGAGTGCTATTGATGAGAGCAACTGCATAATTCGAACAACATCCCAAAATTTGTTACCGAGGATTTCACAGCTCCAGAATCAGAATGAGGAAGGCAAAGCAGAAGAGAATCAGGAAGGGAAAACGATTCTCCCATTTGAGTTCGTTGCATTGGAGGCCTGCCTTGAAGCTGCTTGTGGATGCTTAGAATCTGAAGTGAGAATTCTTCCCCTCTTTTTGTTCACCTTGTATCTCTAATTAGACTCATTTGTTGTTTTCAATTGCAAAGCAGACAACAACATTGGAGCAAGAGGCTCATCCTGCTTTGGATAGATTGACCTCCAAAATTAGTACTCTCAATTTGGAGCGTGTTCGCCAAATTAAAAGCCGGCTAGTTGCAATTACTGGGCGTGTGCAAAAGGTTGGCCATTTTTATGCTTTTGAACATTGTCATTCAGTTTTTGTTAAAATATGCTAGTAGTCCTCGTACTTTCACAAAATTGAGATTTTAAAATTTTAATCTAACTGTTGACCCCTTTGTGTTTTCTATAAAAAAAAGTACTTATTTTGTTAGTTTATAATGATTTCATCCATAAAAACTAGTATGACTCAATGGTGTATTGATGATAATGTTTGGGTTTAAATATGCTAAGAGTCTATATACTTTCAAAATTTAAAATTTAATCGTCATATTTTATATTTTTGATATTGAATCATTGCAATATTTTTTATATAAAAATCTTGGTCCCTTCGTTCATTTTTGTTCAATTTTATCGTTAAGTGCTGACCTAACATCTATTTAAAAAAAAGTAATTTTTAGTCTCATAAATTTACAATTTGTTTTTTATCAAATTGACCTTGTAAACATAAATGATTGAAAATATGTATTATTCAATTAAGGACTATTTTTACTTATTTTTCTTAAAGATTATGATGCCAAATTGATATAAAAAAATGTATAGTGTTGTACTTGTTATGTCAACCATTAATGGTAAAATTGAACAGAAGTTAAGGAAATGATCATGATTTTCAAATATAAAAGAGTACAGTGGATCAATATCACAAAATTCAAATATAAGGACTAAATTTTAAACTTTAACATAGTAAAAACCCTTGACATATTTAAACTTAAATTTTTGATATACAATACTAATGGTGGTAAGAGTGAAATAGGATTTTTTTTAAAATCAAATGAGTACAGTGATTTACACCTCAAATTCTATTCAAGTGAAATATTTGGCCTTTATCTTCAGGTAAGGGATGAGTTAGAGCACTTGCTAGACGATGATGATGATATGGCTGATATGTATTTAACAGAGAAGCAACAAATCCAGAACTCTTCAACTGCTTCTCTGAATGAAAGAGATGAATTAGATGAACAAGAAGAAGAAGTTGTTGAACCAGACAATGATGACAGGCACCAAACTTGTTTTTTCCACAATTTTCATTAATGATTTCACACTTATTATTTGCTTCTAATATCTTCTGTATTTATGTCAGCACACCTGCTGAAGCCCCTTTGACACCCTGCCACGAAGGTGATTACACCAGAGATTCCGACAAACCCCACAATCATTCATTTGATGCTGCTACCGGCAGAGGCAGCCATGGAAGTCGATCGAGTTCCGGTCATAGTTTTATCGGAAAAAACCTTAATGTACAGGAGTTAGAAATGCTCTTGGAAGCTTACTTTGTACAAGCTGATGGAACACTCAACAAGCTCTCCACGGTATGTCACTTGCATCTACAACTTGATTACTATCTCCTTTTGTCTCATCATTGTTTACTCGAACTCGAATATACGTGTAGATTATATATTTAGTACTCGAATTCGAACCCAAGTGTAGAATATTGAATATTTTCTCTTTGATGGAAGCTGAGGGAATATGTGGATGACACAGAGGACTACATAAACATAATGCTGGATGACAAACAGAACCATCTTCTGCGAATGGGAGTGATGCTATCGACAGCAACTCTAGTGATCAGTGGTTTCGTCGTGGTCGCCGGTATATTTGGCATGAACATTCATATCGAACTATTTGACGATGATAAAGCAGGGATGCCAGAGTTTCTTTGGACGATCGGCGGTAGTACTGCCGGGGCAGTATTCCTCTATGTGATTGCTATTTCATGGTGTAAACACAAGGGATTGTTAGGGTAGTTTGGGATAAATCCGTATGCCTTCCTAAAGCATGAGGTAAAGGGTTTATTTAAGATTTAGAGTTTAGGGTTTAAATGAAATAAGCTATGAATAAAATTGGATCATTTGGTCGTAAAGATGGCGTCAATGAAAGGAAAAGATGAGAGAGTATAAATGTAATAAACAAAAATAATATATATTTATTTTAAATTAATCCGTGACAAATACAAGATAGAAATAACAATCATTTCTTTATCATCAAGGTCACCACCTTCGTGCAACAAAGAATAATATTTACATTTAATAGTAAGACTTGGCTTTTGATTCTGTAATAGTAAGATTCTATCCTTCTGAACTAAAAGTTTAGATCACTAAATTCTTGATCCAATTCTATTTTGATTATTGAATTAAAAGTTTTATCAATTGAGTCACTAAAATTTTAGTTTGGGTTCAATCAAGCCACCAACTTTTAATTGTTACCGGAATTATTGACATAAAGGTTAAGCAAATTTATATAATAACACGTTTGATTCTTATTATTTATACATTCTATCACTTTGATTCTATTAATTCAGGGCTACTTGAACTTGAGACTTGCGAGAAATGGACAACATTTTATATTTAAATTAAATTGTATCTTATTGCTGAAAAATCAAGAAAATGAGGATAGAAACTAGAGGACTCGTACTTAAGACATGAAGAAAATTTACACACACAACCACTTAACCACTTAACCACTTACCATTCATATGTGTTTAGTCAATTATTTATTTTTATTGATAGATTTCTAATTTAAAAATATGAAGCATTTATTCAATTATTGATCGTAATTGCCATTTCAAAACCTATGATGAGATAATATTTATTATCTCATACCATCGGTGACCAATCACAAAGACGGAGTGAGGTAATGAATAGCAGACACAACTGTTGTTTATAAAAGACAGGAATGGAGACATGAACAGAAATCAGATAATTTATTACAAACCCAACACATAACAACAGCTGCATTCCCCCAATTGGAATTTAACAGAAGGATTGAAGCCTTTGGTTTTGGTGGTTGTTGGAACAACAATTGATGTTTTATTTCCCCATACTTTCTTCTTACATCCTTATCCAATATATATTTATTAACTCATTATATTTTTTTCAGTGAATATTTTCTAATTTCATATTGTTAATTTCGGTCATCTGTTTTCACTGATCAACCAACAATCTTAAATCTATGTAAAACTAAAAGAATTTGATGCAATATAATTAGATCTTATCCCCACACATATAATAGTGTATCATTTTATATATTATTGTATCTCTTCGTAAATCAATAAATATATTATTTTTCTTTCATATGTTTCTGTTGTCATTTTTTCGTAAGAAGATTTCGACGCCTCTAGAATTTTTTTAGTTCACTTGAAGGTAATCTCATTATTTCCTCAATTCGACTACAATTCCTCAATATGATTGTTATCTGACATTCTGATCCACTCATCCACCAACCTATAGATAGTTATGAACTTTAGAAGTGACATCAATCACTCTAATGCTTGATGTTAGAGACATATATACCTCCACAAGCAAGAGTTAGAGAGATCTTCTTCAAGGCATTCATTGTTCATTTTCTTCTGTGACTCTTTTTTCTCCTTTTTGCAGATCTTTGGTTAGTTTTAAAAAAGTGAACCATCTAAGACAACCATTTTTTTATTCGAACTATCAACATATATTTTGAATAAATTAAATAATAATATATTATTAAAATAAACTTTAACAAATTAGGTTGATTTCACTATTAATTTATTGACGGTAGGTAAAATCTTTCACTATTAAATACTAATGTTATTATAATATGATATTTGGTTGATTTGTCTCTATCTTATCTGCATTTGACTAACATTGAGAACTCCCCAGTGTTGAAGAATGTTAAAATAAATGGAAATATGACATGTGGGTCTAAGATTAGATCATAACTTTTGACATCCTAAATTCCCCTAAAGTTTGCCTTCTTATCTTATGGACACTTTTTAGATTATTAAATCTTAGTATGGAATAGTTTGATGAATAAAGAAATGAAATAGGAAGGGAAGGGACATATAATTGTGGATGACATCGACTTCGATGACAGCTGCTAAGCAGACATGGTTGGAGGGAGCAAAGTGGCATTAATATAATCCCAAAAACAATATCAAATAATTCAATATAATGGGGCATGTTCTTTAGGGTTAGGAAAACCACAGACAAGATCTTCCAAGAGGGTGTTTTTCAAAAGGGGAAAAAAGGTAATTGGGACGGTGCACAAAGAGAGGGGCTAAATATCCAAACATGGTATATTGTTTTAAAGATTATTCATATAAGGGTCTATCACTTCTGTATTTATTCAAATAAGGGTCTAACTTGATAAAACTATCAAAAAAAGGGTTTAAAATTTTCGAATTTGTTCAAGTGATGTTTAATCTTTTGAAAACGTTTTTAAACAAGGACTCTCATTTTGAGTATTTTCAAAAATGTTAGATCCTTATTTAATCAAACTAAAAAGTATTAGACTTTTATTCGATAATTTTGAACAGTTAATAACTTATTTTAAGAATATGTAAAATATTAGATACTTATTTGAATATATATATATATAATATATATATATATTGTTCTACCCCTTTCCTCGTAGGATTGATCTCTGCACTTCAAGGCATCTGAAGATTTCGTCATAGTTAAATCCCCTGAAGAGTGTCTCCGTAATAAGGATTTCAATTGGCTGACGTTCCTTAGGAAACAACAACCTTAGGATACGACCTCCTAACAGGTCCACGTGACCCATCAGAGCTAAATTCATTGGTAGTAAACCATATCTACAAGGTCTGTTAACCTATGAGTACTCATAATGAGCTTATGTCTCGCATCAGTACTCAGAGTCATAAAATTCTCGATCAATACCGAAAGAAAGATTTGGACCCTTTCTTCATGAACCCCTTTCTACCTCTTTATGAAGATAGAAGATCTTGACATCGACCAACGACCGTTTCTTCATCGAGTACAACTCTCTATCGAAATCAGATGAACAAACTTTCTATAATCATCGCGACCCATTTATTTCCATATATCAACATTGACTTTTGTCATGTACTTAGCATCATCATCTGTGAGAGATTAGAGAATGAACGCCCATCACCCATTTAACACTTCCCATCATCTTTGTGCCTCATCATGAGCATATTTAGGGGGCTAAAACTTGTTATGGTGAGAAATGGAACTTATCGAGGGTGGATATGGACCCTTGTCTGGACACCTTGAGACATGGGTTCTTGTCATCATTCATGACCAAGCTTTTTTCCCCATGATTTGGTTCATACAAAAAAAATAAAAAATGAATTATAATTTTGTTCAACAGCCAACAGTATTTTCAATTGTGTTATGTTTATTGAGGTATAATTATGATTATTGTATCGAAATTTTACAATAACAATTTCAGGAGATAATTTCTGTTATATAACAACCATTTTTTTAATTACAAACCGTTATTTAAATCTCTGTTCACCTCTTATCCCTTACATCGCAGAGGAAACATTTGCTATCTAAAGCCAATGATATACCAATTTGTTGCTTTCTGTATAAAATACTCACTTCTCAGTTTTAGTTTTTGCTTTACAGGCTGAAGCTAGAAGTACTTAATGTGGGAAAAATATAGTACATTCCACACTGTTTTATAACAGTTAATATTATATATATATATGTATATGTTGAACTATTTTTGTATTTAGTTGAATTGAAGTAGTGATGAACTGCAGATAGATATAAAGAGTAGAGCATGGGGTTCCATAAATAAAAAACAAAGACAGAACAGAAATTAAAAGGAGAGAAGTTTTTGCCATGGAAGACTGGAAATGAAATGAAAAATTAAAATACATGAAAAAGAGGAAAATATCCTGTTCTTCCATTTCTTTTTAATTTCATTTTCCAACTCCAAATTCTCTCTCTTTTTTTAAACTTAAAACCACCTGTAAATCTGATCTTCCCTGGTTCGTAGCTGGTTTGCAGAGGGAGAAGATGACTGCAAAAACCCAAAATGATCTTGAAAATTTGATCAACATATAAGATAAGATTCTGAACGAAGTACCTCAAAGTGTGTTGCAGAGAAACCCACAGGAGCATGATTATTGTTGTTGTTCTGGGAGGGGGGAAATCATCATCAACCCTTAATTTAAGACAATTGAAAACAACATGATTATCGAGCAAAGAAATTTATAACATGAAGGGATTACCTTGGAGTGATTGATGAAAGGAGAGCTTGCAGTATCATCGTCTTCATGTACCTGCAGTTTTCTATGCCTTTTATCACCGCCATTTTTATTCAATGTGACACCTTGGGGCACCATATTTTTATGGTATAATTGGTTACCACCATTATCTTCATAGAAATGTGGAGGCCCTGAAGATGCATCAGAAACCATGGAAAGATCTTCTTCATCAACAACCCTTTGTTTACTTCTATTCTCTCTACGTTCATCACAAAACCCACTCTTTTTAACATTCTTTTTCTTTGATGGATTGGCAGATAGAAAAGATTGTTCTAAGTAATTAGTCCAACCGGACTCACTCCCACTACTACACTCAGAGGCTATAAAATTCATATTTTTTTTCTTCAAAAGAAAACCCTACACTCAATGTGTTTCCTACCCACCTCTACCTAAGGCTACCTTTTATCGAGGAGAGAAGTAGGGTGGTCTAATTATGATTCTAGCCTCTCTACTATTTTCAAATTATGGTTTAATCCTCCTATATATATTTTGATTCTTCTACTACAATAATGTTATTAGTAGGTCTAAAATGATAACATCATCATCTATTGAACCTTTAAAATGATAACATAATATTATTGTTATTCGATCGTTCATTCCAAATCAATTTTAAATGAAATATTGTTCTTTCTAAAAATTTCGAATTTAAACAGTTACATATACATAATGTGTACATTATTAATGATTAATAAAAATTTTAAACAGACACTACAATCTAATAACCCTCTAATATCAACCTATGTAAGTCCCACAACCCCAATTGGTAAAAGGATAACCCTAAAAAGGATAGGTAATAGTAACACAGGAGATGGTGAGGTTATATGTGTCCCCATAATAGGAGGGTATTGGATCAAGTAATATGGAGGAAAGAAAAAAGGGGTGGGGGATTGTGGGAAAAAGACTAGAGAGAATCACAGACCCAAATCCTAGACTGATTTTGTCGTGGTCTTCCCTCAGAATGTGAATGAATCAAAAAGTGCCAGTTGGGTGGGTTCTAACTGAGGAAAAGAAAGAGAGAAGGAAAAGGCACAAATATCTCCACATGCAAGACAGCCAGGCACTGCGTACTATTAACAAAAATTGGGCACACCTCCTTGGGATGTAATATCCTTGCTGGTCCTATTGGACAGTCGGTTTTCGTAACAGTAATTATTATATAATAATATTATTATTTAAAATCATTGTTATATGATCGTGATATTTATAATAATTATAACAAAAGTAGTTATATTCAAAAACCACAGTAAACGTAACATGATTAAAAAAGCAATCGAAACCGAAAACTTCTCATATACATCAGTCAATTTCACAAACATCCAGACATATTTTAACAGTTATTTTCCGCTTCTGGGTGTACAGATTTTCTTTCATGAAATTATGTAACTTCTCAAGACAAAATTGTACTAAAAACCTATATTCTTCTTTTTCTTTCCTTTCATACCTTATATTTCTTTCCACGTGTAACGTTTACTCAGTTTTAGTTTGGTAAATATTAAAAAAATCCATTACCAAATATACCAATTCAAAGCCTTTTTCCATCAAAAATGAGTTAATGATCGATATTCGATATATGACAATCTAATATTTTTGTTCTCATTACAGATATCATTTATTGCCACGGAACGATCCTTAATCTCAGGAACGCTTATTATATTTGAAAAATTTTGGGTTTTATTTTAAAATTAGTTTGAAGTTGACATCGATCTTTTGATTAGGTAGGTCGAATACCTAAAAATATATTTGTTGCGTGTATGGGTGTACTAAATTTAATACATAATTTATGCAAGTATACACATCGAACAAGTAATATAGTGATGAGTGCGTATCATCTCCACATGGATTAGAGGGAAATTAAGTAAAGATTGAACACTTAATCTCTAAGCAGTCTAAGTAAAAAATGGTATGAACAAGTGATGAGGAATGATGTAATAAGTTTCATATTGGGTAAATGTTGTAGCAAAGTTTAAATATAAAATAATGTGACAAAATTGTATGCTAAGAAATGTTACACAAGACAAGACCACAATCTGACCTTTCACACATGAAACTATCAAAAAGGTTGAATAGCTAGGTTTATTCTAGAATCCTATGTCTTACCCTTAATGAATGTCAACAATTTCTAGCTTACATAATGCTCGACAGAATTTTATAGGTTGTTAACATAACAGTAATAATGCTAAAGCAATATGTCTCAGCATAAACCCTAGCAAGATACTATCGTTCAAGCTCAACTCCTTTTAGTTGTTGAAACTGTCTTTATCTCTAAGGCAAGTTAGGGTTTTACGCAATAGTTCCATCCCATTATTCACGTAGATTTAAGTTTAACTCTCTTGATATCAAACATCCAACAAAGATAAATGATATCTCTCAAAAGCTCTTACATATCTAAGTAATAAAACAGTGAACAAAGCAAGAAGATAAACTGAAATTGATGTAATATTCATTAAAAGAACAACATATTCTTCTTTTGTCTTCTAGTGCACCCAGTAATGTTGTTCTTGCATTGCAGCATAATCGTCCTCTCCCAACAATTTTCCTTGAGTGACCTGCACATCACCACAACATAACAAACACTCCTCAAGCAGCACCAATTTCAAAAAAAATGTAGAATAAGGCGAGAAAACACTACCAAATGCAAATGAATGCATTCTATGCAACTATATGCAATGGAATGAGCTTTTAAAAACCAATAACCTAAGTAAAAGACACGAATTATAGCTTTTTTACGGGGTTATCAATATTTTAAAATAATTTTAATTTAAAAAATCAATTTAAAAGATGAAAATAGTTTGTGCTTAACCAAAAATTCATGTTTTAAGGATTCGAGAGTTGATTAAGCATGGGGAAGAGTGAGCATCCCATAGTGCTCAAAGTTGGTATTCTAGATCATATGTTGTCTAAAGTAATTGAATTTTACAAATTTGAATTATGATTCTTCTATTTCTTGGAATTAAACGTGAATCTCTTTTTAAAAATATTTGACTCAATGAAAAGGATTTAATTCACTCAGTGTTATTTAAAAGGATGTCCTCTTACTACATAAATTAAAGGAAATTGAAATCCAGTCTTGTTGGATGCAATTCCATTAACTCACGACGCAAGACAACATTGCCTTTAATTATTTTTGAAAACGAGAAAACAAATGTATAATTTATGAGTGCAGCAATAATAAAAGACATGTATAGGATAAATTAAATATCTAATGTAATATGACCAATAATAAAGAAAAATGACACGTATAATATTTATATTTATTAAAATTTAAAATTGCATGAGTGGCTTTCACCTCGTGCGTCTTAAGGAATCACAATCCAGGTTTTTTTTGGATGTTTTCCCATAGGTCACCCTTTGTTCAAGACTTTAGATATCAAGTGAATAGATAATAACTCTATCATAAAATAGATCTAATCGAATTAAAAAAATTAGTCCACAATTAATTTTTATGTCATTAGATTTATTATTTATCTTTAAATTAATCAGTGAAAATTTTGGAAGAAAAATATTCTTCTTCGATTGAGGTGTTTAGATATTATTTATGTAATAAAAAAATCTGAATCAAATATCATTAAAACCAATTTATCTTTCTTGTATGAAAAATTAGAGCAATCTAATAGTAAAATTACTAAAAGGGAAATAAAAAAACCTAGGGATCTGGTGGTATTCTTCTGGCAGGGGCCAAAGGGCCCCGACCTTTTAAATTTGTATATTAAATATAATTTTGATCTAATAGTATTTTATTTTATTTAAAAATAAATATTCAAATTAAAAAATATAAAAATTTATTAAATATTTAATCAAGTATGACCAGACTAAATAATAATAATCTCGTGTTCTTAAAATTTTTGTATAATAACAATTTAGGTCATTGTAAGTCTTAATATTACACAAATTAAGTGTTATCTTGTGAATTTTGAGTTTTTTTTTTCAAATAAATCTAGGGTGAATACAAGGTAATATATGTAAACTACTTTCAACTATTTAACAATAAACGCTCATACCCCCACATGGGGTGAATTCACGAGATAATGTTCTCGAACTTTTTTATTCACGATATAATGCACATCCCAGATTAATTGCTGGAATGGGGTGAATTCTACAGTAACCTTGGAGGTCGCCATGGCATCCGGGCGACCTTGGAGGTCGCCATGGCATCCGAGCGACCTTGGAGGTCGCCATGGCATCCGAGCGACCTGTGTGTATTTTGCAAAGGAATAGGTCGCCATGCAATCAACATGGGACGTGGGAATGCATGGGGGAGGGGATGCATGCTGTGCATGGGACGTGGGAACTGTGCATGGGCCATGCACGTCGAACGGTGTAGGTCACGGCGGCGTGGTAGGTAGGTCGCCATGGAGTCTCGGCGACCAAGGTCTGGGAGATTCCTGTAGCTGTAGCTGCATGCATGCGTTGCATCATAGCTGAGAGATTCCTGCACCCGTAGCTGTATGTGTTGCATCTATAGTTGCGTTATTGCAGCGTTAATTTAGCTGTCAGCCTTTCAATGCTCAATAGTTAGACGATGCAATGCTAATATTATTTGCTTCAACAATCAAATTTAATGACTCTGTCCAACGCTCAGTTGCTTTATATAAAGGATATGGGGTTTAGGGTAGAAGCACAAGCAGAACCAGAAGCATAAGCACATATAAACTTTGCCGAGAGAAAGAAAAGGAAGAAGAAGAAAAGAAGATAAAGGCTCAAACATAGTTCGTGAGGTAATTTTTTTATTGTTTAATTTAGTTTATTATATGAAATTATTAGTTTGTTAGTTTCGGGTTTAGGGTAAAACTAAAATCTAGTTAATTAGTTTGTTAGTATAAATTATTAGTTTGTTAGTTTAAGTTATATTATATTAGTTTATTAGTTTAAGTTATATATTATATATAAAAAATTAGTTAATTAGTTTCTTAGTTTAAGTTATTAAATATAAAAAATATTAATTAATTTGTTAGTGTCTTTAAACGTATATTAGGTTGTTCGTTGAAGTTGAAGTTATATTATAAAAAAATTAATTAGTGCTTAATTAGTTTGTTATTTTAACTAAGTTATATTATAATAAAGAAATAGTTTATTAGTTTAAGGTATATTATAATATATTAGATTATATAAAATTAATTTGTGGGAGCTATTGTTGTTTAAATAAATATTTTGTTTACACATACAGGACATTATTTCACAATATTTACCCACGTACAGATTGATTCGAAGAAAGAAACAAGGCAGGAAAAGAAAGTAAAGGAAGAAGGCATAAAGACGTGAGTAATTTATTATTTTTTGTTGTCCATTTTTTGTTGTTGTGTATGTGTAAATTAGTTAGTTAGTAAGTTTATATTAGATTATATAAACTAATTTGTGCGAGATAA